TATATATATATATATATATATATATATATATATATATATGTATGTATGTGGGTGTGCGTGTGTATGTATGTATGCATTAATGTATCTAATTTATTGTATGCTTTGTTGTAGCTACAAAATACCTAGTTTGATGTTCTTATAACGTGTGTGTATGTATGCGCACGTTAGAAATCTATCTATCTATCTATCTATCTATCTATCTATCTATCTATCTATCTATCTATCTATCTATCTATGTAAAAGAATTATTCACTTACATGTTTTTATTAGCTTACCATGTTCATAAGAGTCCGAAATCTTGTGTACAGACAATCTAGCACCACAATGCTTTTACCAATAAATATATTAAAAAAAAAAAACTACATCCATTGCTCCGTTTGCAATGTAGCCATTGATGTGCTCTCAGAGCTGCGCTTGGCGACACAATATGGGCTGTACACTCAATAATACACGCAGTTTACATTTCTTTGTAAAACTCCCACAAACTTTTCAATTTTACTGGCGTCAGTGTGGAAGGAAGCAAGTTGAAAAACCTTTCAACAAAATAAATGAATACATATAAAATATTTTTTACTCTTTTGGCATGTTTATTTATTTATTTATTTTTTATAAAGAATTTATTTTTTTCTACAGAACGGAAGAAACTCCGAAAACTATACCTTATAACTTATTAATGGATGATTAAAAAATAAAAATAAAATATTCCTTTTTACATAACTATATATATATATATATATATATATATATATATATATATATATATATATATATATATATATATATATGGTAAGCTAATAAAATCATGTAAGTGAATAATTCTTTTATATGAATAGAATTTGAAAAGTTACTTGTACAAAAAAAAGCAATGGCGGTGTTTTACATCTGTTTATGAAATGTAATATAAGTTAATCGTATCGATGGTACCGCTTAGATTTTTAAAACTGTTATAAACGTAGAAAAATTAAAGTGTATATCTGAGGTTTATTTTTTTCAAAACGCAATAATTTCTATATTTTACATTTATTTTTTTTTCATATGATCATTTGCTAATAAAAACTGATAGAAATGTTTCTTTTTTCCTAACATTTAATTCATTTCGCTAATTAATTGTACACTCCATCACAATTTAAATATCTCCAAGATTATTCACGTGATCTTAATTTGCCTCATTACGAAATAATAATTAATGCAAGTCTTTCACTCAGTAACATCTTAAAATTGCAAAATTAAATATTGTTTTACTTGGAAATTTTTCATATAGATTGCACTTGAGATTTATAGAGAAAGACAAATATTTACATGAATCATTTTTATCAAATTTTAAAAAGTATTAAAATTTTTGCAGTTAAAATTGCATTTAAGGTTGTATCTTAAGTCTGTAAAATTTAATTAAATAGTAACGTTTGATCATATAAGGAAAAATAATTCTGATAATTTTTAAAATTAAATTTTATTAATTTGATGGAAAACCGTAAGTATAAGTATAAAATAAAATAAAATAAAATAAAAATTGCGACTTAAAAAGACGTGATTTTTTTAATCCGCTGACTGAGAATATAAACGTACTTTAAAAAGTGACTTCTCTTATAAAGGTTTTAGTAATTCATTATAGTTACTAAATAATTGTGATATAATTTGAAGCTGAAATTTATTTACATTTTTACAATAACAATTGTGTATGTGAATATAAATGTCTATGCCAGTTAACTTTTGGGAATGTATCTTTTCATAATAAATAGACGTATTATTTGAAATGTTCATAAAAAATAGACATGTATCCGATATAGAGTAAATTCATACACTCGGTAAAAGAAAAGAAAGTACAATCACCATCAATCATTGGCCGCCCGTTTTAGGAAAGAGACTAGCTTTGTGTATATGAACTGGTAATTTTGAATTGACTGACTATGACCTGTTGCAAAATCTCGAATTCCTCTCCTTTTCATGAGACAAATCCGAAAGTTTTTGAGATTGTTTGTGAATTCGCTTTTTATAACTCACAATCAGTTTTCTTATCTGTAAATTTTAAATCTTATATTAGGTTTTATGTTTGGTCACTTTTTCTGAAACCTGCTCTCTCCACCCTTCCTTCTCGTTCTCTCTCTCTCTCTCTCTCTCTCCACAACACACACACACACACACACACACACACACACACACACACATATATATATATATATATATATATATATATAGGGATAGTAGTGGTGAGATGTTAACACATATATAATGTGACTTCGACATACCTCAGAAATCTTCACACGTTAGTTATTTTCATTATTATATTGAAATAACTACACTATTTTACATCCTTGAAAGTTTACTTTTATGTTAGTTAAATTTTATTAATTTGATGGAAAGTTTGGGGAGCTCAGACTCAACACAGAGGCCTCGAGGAAGTTGTGCTGCCCTGGGTCAGAGAGTGGCTATTGGAAGACCCTATGTCGGACAACAGGACTCTGCACCATGCGACACAAACAGGAGAACCCAGTTATGGCTGTCAGACAAAGTCTGTGACCACATCACGCCTTACATCGGGCCAGCCAACTCTCAAGAGTGTAACCCCCTTGATTATTATGTGTGCGTTGCAGATGAGCAAGAGACCAACAAAACTCATTGTAACACCAAAGATGGATTGAAGGCACTATGGCAGTATTCACAAACGTTAACAAGGGGACCTTCGAGAAGAGTTGCAGGAGATTCCAAAGTCTTCTGGAGGACGTGGTTGAAGCCAATGGTGATTTTATTGAATAAATTTACTCTTTAGTATTTGAAGATATTTTTGTGTAATTTTAGTAAATATATCTGTTAAAATGAGATGTTAGTGTCATGTTCATTTCTCTGTAATTTATGACAATTTATCCATTGCACTGTATATATATATATATATATATATATATATAAGGCAGGATTTGTGTGTGTGTAACGAATACACGGCCGCAATTTTCGACGGATTTGCACCAAAAGTTAGCGGGGAGGCCAAGATCGACTTTGCATTTCCCAACTCCCATCGATAATGGAAATAATCGATTTTTTCATGCTTCTACGGCAGTTTTCATGTAGTTTGCGGCCATTTTGTACTGGCCAGAGTGAGAGTCTATAACTGGCTGCCACAAATAGGCAGGAAGATTCTATTGGCCAGCGTGAGAGCCAAGAGCTGATTGACACGAATGTTAACTAGCATGCTAGCATGCAAAAAAAATCGATAGCTGCATTCGTCACAAATGGGAAAAATTTAAATCTGCATGGCACTTTACTCCAATTGGCTCATTCACTTGCTTAAACTCAACGTTGATTCTGATTCTGCAGAACTGTGTTGGGTGTGAAAAAGTATTTGTTGTTAACATTCTTTTTTCATTAGGTTTTTCCAGTTACGAGTCCTTTTTTTAAAGCTGATCGTTTTGTGTTCATTTTGTTTAGTTCTTTTTTCGTAACAGATTTAATGTTTAGTATAGAGCTTAGAAAAAATTCGCAGTGTGAGATAGGCAAGAAGTAAGGCATGTAGCAACATCAGCACGGCAAAGGGCACTCCTTTAAAGGCAAGGAAAGGCAAAAATATTTTAAGTCAAGTGATAGCTGTGTGAGTCGTACGATTTTTTAATCAAACACTGGCAACGCCGGGCCATGCTGCTAGTGTATATATATATATATATATATATATATATATAACTGGATTTCAAACTCGGCTCTCTGATTCCTCAATCTAAGCCGCTATCCATTACTCCACCTTTTATGTTAAGCGAACCTTAATAACATTTGTGGGATAATATAGATTATATATGAAAATAAAAATATCGTCGGAGAAAAATGTAATTATATTTCTTTTCATATAAACACTGTGTCCGTAACGTTAACTTGTATTCTTTTAAAATTAAGATATGGCTTTGTTTTTTATTTATTTATTTTTAGTAAAAAAAAAAAAGACAATATTCTGTATCGATATAAATTATCTGCCCTTTCCAGAGGGAATCAGGTTAGTCCCCGTTGGTGGGATAAGAGGGAAATCTATTTATTCTTTTGACAATCACCACGCTGTACAAACGTGTCATATCGCTTTCTTCACCTCAACATGCTTCACAAACAGATCGAGTTTCGCTCCGTGTCGGACTTCATATCTTAAATACATGACCGTCTGATTTTTTTTTCTGCTTTCCCTTTCAAGGGACAGTCAAACAAACATCCTTTGTCAAGAATATTTCTTTGTTTGTTTCTATATATTTGTTTCCATACAGGGCAGTAGCAGAGACAATTTTTTTTTACGGGAATAAAAACAAAAATTAAAATTTAGCCTTAAGTTATCAAAGGCCAGTAACATAGCGGTTAGACCATTTAAAATTTCCAGTACATCTAGATTGACAGAAATCAACTTTGAAATAATAGAGACCGTCTTTGTTACAAATGAAAGAACTTTTTTATATTTTATATTTTATTTTATTGGACTCACCACAATTCCAAATTAAAATGAAAACACGCCCACGCGATAAAGGGAAATTCTCATCATCGTACACCTTTAAAAAAGAATTCTTTCATCAGAATTTTATGAAAGTAATATTCTTCCTTGTTTTGAAAGTTTTTTTTTCTTTCTTTTATTTCTTTCTTAATTTAGTTTGTTAAAATAAAACTCTATACAAAATGCTACAATTGGTAAAAAATTTGGGGAGTGGAGCCAAGGTCCTCTTCGGCTCCTTACAGTATAACTGCATATGTAGACAACTATCGTAATGTTCTTTTCACAATTATCTTATTACCTGTATTAATTAAATAAATGTTTCTTTTTTTTACGCAGTAAATTGTCTTTATTTTATTTTATTTGGGGCTACATAACGGGCTGCTTTATAACATGTGAAACCATCTGTTTCCATGCTTTTCAGATGTGGACACTATATAATTTTAAAAATATACATAACCCGATAATTTTCAAACACTAAAAAGAAGTATAATAAATAACTGAAACTATTGCGGTATTTTTCAGGATTATTTCAATTTTTTATGAGCGTATATCAGAGAGAGAGAGAGAGAGAGAGAGAGAGAGAGAGAGAGAGAGAGAGAGAGAGAGAGTGAGATAGAGATAGAGAGGGAGATAGAGATAGAGAGATACAGTGAGAGGGGGGTTGATATGTTTTGTGTAAAGTTATTAGTAAAAGACAACATAAGCTAAAAATGGGCAACTTAACTGCTTTTAGCGTTGCTATAGCATCGTATCATTAAAATGTTGCAAACGCTTTCTCATTCCTTCACTAGTGTGGACAGGTTCAAGAAAGTAAACGAAGGCTATTATTAGGAACATCAAAGCGATTTGAAATTTTTTCAAGAAACAAGTATTTATTTATTTTATGCTAAAACAGTAATATTAATTAATGACAGGAGGAGAGTTGGTAGCTAAAGACGAATAAAAAAAATGATATAAGCGATAAGAAGACAAGTAAACAAGAAAAGAAATAAAAAGAAGAGGATACAAAAAAAATAAAAATGATGGAAAAACGAACGCGAGAAAAAAAAAGCAGTAAAGTTAAAAAGAAATAGATGACTAAAGAAAAAGAAAAAGAAAAAGATATCCTGAGAATATTTAAAACGAAGAAAAGAATGGCACCTGAAAGAGATAAGAGAATAAATAAACGTTTTCACAAAGTTTTAATCTATGTAGGAATTTTATTCTAGTCGAGCTGAGATTTTTAAACTAAAATATATCTTGTTTGAAGGAAAACGTTTTGTTTTAGATCAGCGGTTTAGCAATAGATTTCGCGGTAAAATTATGACCTTCACATACACTGACTGATGAAGCTACGGACTTCATATATGCCACTAATGTAGAATATTTATGTACATCTGCTATTTTCTATCTTCCAAGAAATACAAACAAAAAGTAAAACTGAACTGTAAGGATGAACATTTGATATCAAAATAAGCAAAACTTGGAAGAGTTGATTTGATTTAACCAGCACTTAGCTGATTTAACCAGTGCTTAGTTAATTTAACCAGTGCTTAGTTGATTTAACCAGCGCTTAGCTGATTTAACCCGTGCTTAGTTGATTTAACCAACGCTTAGTTGATTTAATCAGCGCTTAGCTGATTTAACCAGCGCTTAGTTGATTTAACCAGCGCTTAGCTGATTTAACCAGCACTTAGCTGATTTAACCAGCGCTCAGTTGATTTAACCAGTGCTTAGCTGATTTAACCAGCACTTAGCTGATTTAACCAGCGCTCAGTTGATTTAACCAGCGCATTGTTGATTTAACTAGCGCTTAGGTGATTTAACCAACGCTTACTTGATTTAACCAGCGCTTAATTGATTTAACCAGCCCTTAGCTGATTTAACCAGCGCTTAGTTAATTTAATCAACGCTTAGGTAATTTAAACAGCGCTTAGCTGATTTAACCAGCGCTTAGTTGATTTAACCAGCGCTTAGCTGATTTAACCATGACTTAGTTGATTTAATCAGCGCTTTGTTGATTTAGCCATCATTTAGTTCAATAGAAGGAGCACAACCACTGTTAAATTCCGAACATTAAAACCTTCAGAGCTGAGTTCACTTGTATTAAAAGGTAATTGCATCAAAACATTTACAAATGGCTGAACGGCAAATATTCACATCATATGAAAATTAAATTATCCAATGATTGTCGATCTGCCATGCGCGTTACTATTTTTAAACGATTACAGATTATAGCATTGTCATCTAATGCCAATATTTATACCAATTGAATACATTTTAATTAATGCTTAAACAAACCGCACAGTGAAACGTGTTTTTAATTATTTGCATTTCAGGCGTGTTAGCGTCAACAATTAGAGCGACTGAAAATCAAGAAAATATATAATGATTCTATTTCTAATATATCGAAAAAGTAATGTATGGATATATCTGAAAGCCATATATTTATTAAGGTATTTGCGATTACATGAATTATAAACATTTTCTACTGTCTAAATATATCGAGCATTATTTACATATATGCGGTGAACATGTTTACGTAAATTATTTCGTTATGTGTAGATAATTTCCTCATGTCAATAAAATGTTCACTTTAAAACTTCCATGGAAGACAATATAATTTTTTTCAGCCAATTATTTTAGAACTTAGCGTAGTGTCCATGAAAAATAACTGGATTATTTATGTTTCTTGTTTTCTCTTTCTTTCTCAATTGAATATTTAATAAGCCTGAATTATATCTTTTTCTTTTTAATTGTTCTTTCTCCAATTATTTGTCTCTTCGTCTCATCAATGGATGTATTCTTTCATTGAAATCTCCCATACTCATAAAAATTCACTCGTTTTCAGGGGTTTGATACACTAGTATTTTAAAAATAGTGACTAATTCAACTAATTTGCTGTCCTGTTAAAAGGCAATAAAATTTAAAGAATGTTTTATATTTGGTACAAAAAGTAACCATAAATTTAGTTTAATGCTTCAATATTATTTAAAAAATAAAATAAATATAAAATTATATATTATAATAATATAATAATATTATAAAATATAAATGATAAATTACCATAATTGCAAACATTAAAGAAACAATACATGTGATATTTGCTTTGTGTTCAAACAGCAAGATGCTAAGACAATAGATGCAGAATTTGTTTGCCTACAAATAGAATGGGCGTTCGAATCACGGCACAACTCCTATATAGTCGTTTTCTCTAACGTCGCAGAAAACAAACATAAAAAAAAGGTGGGATTGTCCTTTATAAGAGTATTTTCACGGGAAAAAGTAGGCAGTAAAGACGTCGCTATCTTGTTGCAGACGTGTCTCGTTGTCATTCTTTCCTCTTATTTCCATCATCTTTTGCACAAATAGAAGCCATTAGGGTGAAATAAGCATAAGCAATTATCCAAAGTAAATTTCCTGAAAAACAGAAATTTCAAATCAGTTACATATCACCCAAATAGTTCAAATACACATCAAAATCATGTCCGGATATGCGGGATTCCAGATTGGAAGCACTTCGGATATATGAGGGATTCTACTGTATATATATATATATATATATATATATATATATATATATATATATATATATATATATATATAATTTGACACGACAGCTAGCAACAATTGAATGGTAGAAATAAAAACGATTAACTCAAATTAACTTGTAGCGGTTCTCTTGCATTCTTCTTTGCTTAAGCGATCTTACACTGTAACTAAGAGCAGTCAACTGAAAATATTATATTGCTCTTGCATATGGTCCCTAAATTTGTTAGTTTCTTGTCATTTTGCGCTGGAGAAAGAACAATTGGTCCAGTGGTCAACAACTATAATTCATGTAATACCTATTCGATATAAGACTTGGAGGAATTTCGGACAGCTCACGTAACTTCACTCGGATGGGAAATGTTTGGACGTATTCTGAAGAAGTGAAGTGTAGAACTTTCTTCAGATCTTCAAACACCGGGCGGGTGATGGAGAGTTCCTTACCACCCATTCAAGATTGGTGCAGGTGTTTTTTACAGGTAATGAACGGTTAGTAACTATATGAGTGAATTAAAAGTCAGTAACACACTTTGTTGGCGGAGTAAGTGATAGCTGTTACGGTTAATGCTACACAGTAATTACTTATTTAAGACGTTGCATACTGAGAAAGACAATATTCGGAAAATGAAGAATTAGACCTGGTCTGAAGAGTAACATCGGCAAAAACAAACACCAGCTGATATGTTTAGAGACAGAATGCAAACATTATGGAAACGGATTTGTTGTCAACTGTAAATGGAGGAATAACGTATATCAATGTTGGGAAGTATTCGTCCGTGTGTCTGTAATCAAGCTCACTGTTAAAAAAAAAACAAAAAAAAACATACCAATGTCAACAAACAGAATGGATCCAGAATGACCATCTAACAAAGCCATGGAGTTTTACTTTGAAAAGACCGACTTCAAAAAGTTCAGAGGTCATCCAAGAACTACCATAGTCACAACGCTGAACCGAGATATTCAAAGAACAAGGCAGAAGGTTCCCATTTTTCCTTTGGAGAGGTTTACAATCAAGAAAGATCTGCAATGAATCCGCAAATTCTCAGAAAACGGAGAAGGCTGGCAAAATATTGTCAAATCAGTAAACAATGTCACTGAAGATGAGAGAACATTTTAATTTATGACCTCAAATCGAAATGATCAAATTTGATGATCATGACACACTTTGTGTACAATAATTGTATCTGTACAGGCATATAGGTTCGAGAAGCTGGAAATTAGGGAAATATTTAAAGAATTTCAAGAAATTAATGTAATTAAAACCGAATTAAAACTTTCTAATAGTCTCCATCCGATAAATATGCTAAATACATTTAACCAGATTGTTGGATATCGACACTAAAAATGCCAAGTACCTAATTTGTTATTAGTTTAATTTATTTATTTATTTATTTTATTTTATATTCATTTTATTTTCTTTATTTCTTTATTTATTTTATAATTTGTTACTGGTTTTATTTTATTTATTTATTTTATATTTATTTTATTTTTGTTATTTCTTTATTTTATAATTTGTTATTGTTTTATTTTATTTATTTATTTTATTTTATATTTATTTTATTTTTTGTTATTTCTTTATTTTATAATTTGTTATTGCTTTTATTTTATTTTCTTTATTTATTTTATAGTTTGTTATTGGTTTTATTTTATTTATTTATTTTATTTTTTTATTTCTTTATTTTATAATTTGTTATTGCTTTTATTTTATTTTTTATTTTATTTTGTTATTGGTTTTTATAATTTATTTTTGGTTTTATTTTTTATTTATTTTTTTTTATTTTTTTTATTTTATTTATTTTTATAATTTGTTATTGGTTTTATTTTATTTTCTTTATTTATTTTATAGTTTGTTATTGGTTTTATTTTATTTATTTATTTTATTTTTTTTTTTTTTATTTCTTTATTTTATAATTTGTTTATTTTATTTTTATTTTCTTTTTTATTTTATTTCTTTGATTTTTATTTTATTTTTTGATATTTTATTTTATTTTATTTATTTATTTTAAAATTTGTTATTGGTTTTATTTTTTATTTTTTTTATTTTATTTTATTTTTATTTATTTATTTTAAAATTTGTTATTGGTTTTAGAATTGATTTCACTTTCACTGTAATATTGAAACAGATCGAAGACTATACCTCAGTGCAAGTAAAAAAATATTTTTTGTAGTATTCCTGACAATCAAATTTCGTTTCAATAGTTTAGGTGTTAAGTTCTTTAGCGGAACTACTAGCATTGGATACAACTGACTGATTTTTGCATATTTTCTTTCCATAATCTTAAATACGGTTTTTATTTTCAGAGTTCACCTGATCAAAATGTGACGTTGGTGTTCATTAAAACTTTTAGATATTAGCAAATAAAATATCAACAAACCTTTCATTCGATAGATAAATTAAGCAATAAGGATGAAAGCTACCCTATAAAAATGATCATTGAATTTTCTCTTGTCATATTTTATGCAGAACTGAAATGAATGAAGACTGTAATAAACTCATATTTAACATTGTGTAGATTTTCATTCAATTTTAACGTGATATTCACAAGATCGATAATCTTTAATTTTCAATTGTTACATGAACTTTAGATATATGGAGACAAAAATCAGAATATGTTATTTATTTATAGTGGGAAATAAAACTATTTATTACGTAATATTTAGTGTTTAAATTTTACTGAACAGCATCTGTGGGTACATTTTACTTAGCTGTAACTTATCGTAATTCCCCATGTATAATACGCCTTCATCCATAATACGCACACCTAAAATTGTGCTGAAAGTGTGGGAAAATGCTTCTACTCATGCATAATACGCAGCCCTTCTTTGGTAATCAGACCCTCTAAATATTATTCTATGTTTTTTATTCACATATATATTAATTGCATTTATTTGAATGAAGTTTGAACAAAGTATCTATAAACAAAATGTTTTTTTGTTTTTTTTTGCTATGCCAGCTGCAATGATGGAGAAAGCATTACCTCGCACCATCGCCAGTGGGACACGCTACAAAAGCCACTCCTTTTCGCGGGGGTCGTCCTTTAACCGAGACGACATCCCGCCAACCCTCCCTATGAACACTATTGAACTAGGGTCAATAACTTCAGAAGTCTCCACTGCCATAGGAGTAAAAAAAATCTGTCAGCAAAAGAATAATATTTAATTATTTTTATTCTACATTATTCAGACTATTGTCCTCATCTTTGTCGCCATATTCATTACAATGTTTCGGCCGTTGTACGCTCCGGCCTTCTTCAGGTGGTTGGAATGTCGAACTTAACCTTTTATTTCGCTCACTAGAGTAGACTGTTCTAGTTCCACGTGCCATGTGTAATGGATGTCAGTTATCAGTTATCTCCTGTTAATTCCCCTCTGAAAGTTCTCCACAGCCTTAACTGGGTATTGAACTCACACTCTTTGGGCCCTGTCACTGGATCTAACTAACGTCTTTATCCACTGTACCATGTGTCCTGGAGTGTGAGTTCAATAGCCGGTTAAGAGAGTGGAGAACTTTCAGAGGGAAATTAACAGGAGATAACTGATAACTGACATCCATTAATGATACTGTCAACGCGTAGGCGGGAAACCTTAAGAGCTTACGTGATAATATTTTGCCAATAGCTATTCTAGAATCATCATAATGTTTTCATAAAACTGTACTTTGATGGTTTTTGACCAAAGAGTTAATCTACTTCATTTGAAATTTGCTACGTCTTCATGATCCCAAGCACTTTTAAATGGCAGATTTCTTACAGTCTAGATTTTAAGTTATCTGTAATACATTTTTCGCTGAGGCATAGACGTCTTTTTAATGTTTAAAAACGTTCTAAAAATTGACCACATATAACGCTGTAAGTAACAAGCGTATCGGTAGACATTGTAGTGAATTTCTTCGTTGAAAGAATGTCAAAACAAGTAAAATGGGATAAAAACACCAGTGAACTGGAATAAAAAAAAAATGAAAAACAAAAAGGGCACAAAGAAATAGAGGAAACGCATGAAAGCCAATATTTGTATTTAAAAGGTCAATTCCAAGCCAATGAAATCATATTTGAACTGAAGAGAGAGAGAGAGTGTGTGTAAGTGAGAGAGAAAAAGAAAAGGAAAAAGAAAGATAGAAAGAAAGAGAAAAAGAAAGAAAAAAAGAAAAAGAAAGAGAAAGAAAGAAAGAAAGAAAGAAAAAGAAAAAAAGAAAAAAGAAAAAGAAAGAAAGAAAAAGAAAGAGATAAAGAAAAAGAAAGAAAAAAGAAAGAGAAAAGAAAAAGAAAGAAAGAGAAAAAGAAAGAAATAAAAAGAAGAAGAAAGAAAGAAAAAAGAAAAAAGAAAGGAAGAAAAAAGAAAAAGAAAGAGAAAAAGAAAAAAAAAGAAAGAAAAAGAAAGAGATAAAGAAAAAGAAAGAAAGAAAGAGAAAAAGAAAAAGAAAGAAAGAGAAAAAGAAAGAAAGAAAAAAGAAAAAGAGAGAGATAAAGAAAAAGAAAGAAAGAAAAAGAAAAAGAAAGAAAGAAAAAAGAAAAAGAAAGAGAAAAAGAAAAAAAAAGAAAGAAAAAGAAAGAGATAAAGAAAAAGAAAGAAAGAAAGAGAATAAGAAAAAGAAAGAAAGAAAAACAGAAAGAGAAAAAGAGATATATCCACAGGGCTCGCGTCGTTGTGGAGAGCAACATAACCATCCTATGGGATTGAAACGATAGGTGGCGGTGTTGGTAGGAATGGTAACAGATAGATTGGCAATGATGCTTCTCACATATTTCAAGAGAACATCTTGTGGAAGTGAAGCACAATGGGATTGCCAAAGTGATACAACAATAAAGTAAGAACGTAAGAGAAAAAGGAATGTATAAGTATTGCTCAGTGGGGTGTTTTGTCAAGATTTTCTCCGTTGGGATTATTTATATAACCAACAAAAGGGAGGGTTTTACTAATAAAAAAAAGAAGAAAGGCTTCGTTGTTCCTTTCTCATATATCGATACTTCAGAGAGCGCAAGAGATAAATGTACGTTCTTTATTTCCGTTTATAAATATTTACATATAAATTAAAACATAAAAATGCATATTCTATTACATTTGTCTTCCATCTTCAATACAGGCGGCCATCTTACATGCAAAAGTGTGCAGACAAATATGTGCATATATGCATTAAGCATAGACGTACACTTGCATTCGCTGTCACAAAAATCCCTCAATTTCTTTCCTATTTAAATTTCGACCAACTCATGCAAACTGAATATTCTCCCCTCTCTTTCTCGCTTACTTATATCTATCTATCTATCTATCTATCTATCTATCTATCTATCTATCTATCTATCGACACGATTAAAAGGGGGTTTATAAAAAATCATTTTTGGACATTTGATCAACTACGCATGACAGGCCGAGAAATTTTCGTCACCACTTCGTATATATGTAGGTATTACCCCCCCCCTCTCTCTCTTGCACTCTTTCTCTCTCACTCTCTCCTCTCTCCCTTTCTCAAAAATAATAATTACGTATCAGACCGGAAATTTATTGATTCACCTTATATATATATATATATATATATATATATATATATATATAACCAAAAAACAAAAATTACCTCAAGATAGAGTTGAGGTTATTTTTGTTTTTTTGCTAAAAAATTAATATATTCTGTTATAATAAATACACCGATCTCTCTGTGGATTAGTTTTAATAATTAATATTACTAGGATCCTCTTGATTATATACCAACGGATCAATTACCTGTAATCTCTCTCTCTCTCTCTCTCTCTATATATATATATATATATATATATATATATATATATATATATATAAAATAATCACTAATATTCCATGGTTATAATTTATTACATTGGAATCGTAATCACGATCCTATTCATAGGTCTGATGAATTGGATCGTGATTACGATTCCAATGTAATAAATTATAACCATAAATATTAGTGTTTGGGCCTTTTATATAATATTCTTATTCTGTCCTGGACATTGAGTTCTACATATATATATATATATATATATATATATATATATATATATATATATATATACACACATATATATATATATATATATATATATATATATATATATATATATATATATTAAAAAGAGAGAAACCGCAACTGTTTTTTAGTTGTAATGTGGATTTTTTTAAAAATATATTATGCTTTATATTCCATAAAAAATTATGGAAAATTTTATAATTATGGCAAAATTATGGAAAATAAAGCATAATATACTTTTTTAAAAAAAATCCACATTACGACCAAAAGCGTTTGCGGCTTCTCTCTTCTTTGTAATATAAACACTTTTTTCTCGTTGGAACAACTATACCTCTTCCCTATCTATCTATCTATCTATCTATCTATCTATATCTATATATATATATATGTGAGTGTGTGTGTGTGTCGCTATCAAATTAAAATTAAATAACATTAAAATTTTATATTATTTCGTCTTATTTAATTCGAATAAACTTTACATAGAAAAAAGCGGTTGATTCTCTTTTAATTGATATCTATTTTATAACAGTGAAATAACGGTAAAATAATGTTATTTTGCAAAGTCAACGATTTAGAGAAACATTACAATTGCCCGACATTTTTATTAATTAAGGCGAGTGAACAAACGAATGAAATGAATAAGTGAAATAATACCTAGTAGGATAATAGAATTTATTAAATACAGCATCACATCTATTGGGCATTGGTGCAATTAGATTCCTTACTACTTCCTGTGGGATTTTCCACAACATTCTACCATATTACTGTTAAAGAACATTCGCGTTTGTGGGCTTATTGCATCGCATGTTAGTTTTGACCTTTTGCCATAAGTTCTCGATAGGGTTGAGATCTAGAGATTGGACCAACCACAGCAGTACTTCAATGTAATTGTCTTCCGTGTAGGCACTGACTAGTCTAGTGATGTATATTTGGGTCGATATCAAGCAGAAGAACTCAGGACGGACCCATATGGTTTGGACCGTATGGAATCATAATCATAACGTTATTCAATATTTGTAGATAAGACTTACTCCCCATTAAATCTATATAACGAACTGATACCGTTTCCATACATAGAACCCCACACCATGACACTCCTTCCTCTAATGCTTTGTGGGTGGGGGGTACTCTTTATCTCATATACTCTGACCATCCGCTGTTAAAATATGATTGGCCATTCCATATCACCTTTGACCTCTTTTCTAAATTCTAATCTTTATTTTTTGTCGATTTGGACATGTTTGATTACGCCTAATTTTATCTATCATCTATGGCATACCTTTTTTCGAAGAGTCTATTTGTAAGGTGTTTGTTTTCAATTTTTCATATCTGCTCCTAGTCGAATAGATATTGTTCGTAAGTAGCAAGTTTTAAAAATTATACTTTTAAAGCTGTTACCTGAATGATCACTTAAGCTTATAAATTGGTACAATATTGACTTTTGATGTTATACAAAATTTTCTTTCTTTGCCTCAACTGTTTCTAATACAAAATGATTGCAATTTATTTCACTTTATTATCGAAAAATAGAATGCTAAATCTGAATAGTCTTCTTAAAGGTTGATATCAATAATGAAATAACATTTAAAGAGATATGTATTAATTATTTTTGCAAAATCATCAATCATTTAAAAGGGGCGTAAATGTCCTTCAATTTTGCATTTAATACTATGGACGTGTACTTAGTGTAACGGTTATCGACACGAAAAGGTAAAAAGGCCTTGTCTACTGCGTCCACTTTCGCTTCTAATTGCCATATTTAAGTATGAATCCATCTCTTCTCTCCCGCATACGGGATAAATAGCAGAGTAAACTACGATTTCTATCATTTGGTAGCGGCTAGTTTAAGGAAAGACGGCTATGGATTCAAAACTGTGGGAAGCTGTTGAGAGTCGTTATTTCCTACCCCCAGATATGATAAGTTTTTATAAACTATAATGATTCTTACTGAAATGCTAGTGTAATCATGTTTTAAAATTAAAAGTATCTGTGAGTGAGATGAATAATGAACTGATACTTGATCGTAAAGTTTTACTATATAATGTTTGCTTTATAGAATTAAGAAGTAACTGATATAGATATAGACTGAAGAATATATATATATACATAATCTATTCACCTCAAGCAAGAGGATAAAGCCACTAAAACTATATTTTTGATATACATATATATATATATATATATATATATATATATATATATATATGTGTGTGTGTGTGTGTGTGTGTGTGTGTGTGTGTGTGTGTGTGTGTGTGTGTGTGTGTGTGAAAATATATAGAAAATAGGAAGGAACTGGTTAGGTAAATAATCCAAAGTTCCTTAGTATTATTGTTATTATTTTTAAAAAAATAGTGCTCGATACAAAAGTAGAGCATAAATATAAACCAGACTAGGCGAAAACATCTTCTGTTTCAAATTTAGACACCCCCACCTTACCCTGACTTGACATCTATGAAAGTAACTTTATACTGATACGTATTATTAACACCCAACACGCCCCTACCTAGTTTAAACAATCCGCCCTGGCTGTTACCATGGACATTTTGATTTCAACTATGAATATACTATTAAAACACGTAAATTTCGGAAATAAGTTATTCAAAAAAAAAATTTCGCTTGAAGATGGAACAGAGCTTACTTTAATTCAATTTAATTCAAATAATTATATTGAAGTTTTCGGCTCTTGTTTTGAAACATGAGACCTCTTATGTCGCGAGTTGGAATCATATTTTTAAATAAATAATTATATATATATATATATATATATATATATATATATATATATATATATGTATAGTGAACATTGAAGTCAACACGGCGGCGACAGTTTGTTTCATGCTTAAACGCAATCTTCAGACCCGAAGATTACGTTTAAGCGGGAAACCGACTGGACTGGGTGTTGATTTCAATTTCCACTTTTATATTTTATATTTACATACGTTTGCCTCCTGATATTGATCACTTTAGCCCATAAATATAGTATACCTTAAAACAATATATTTTATCTTATATATTTTTTTTTCTAATTCATTCATCCCAAGCAAGATGATAATGACACTAAGACGTAAAGGTCTACTCGGAGTGAAAGATAATGAAATGAAATGGAACCGAAAACCATATCGTTAACAGGAAATGAGGGATAATCCTCGACTCAAGTTCAAAGACTGGGCCTGGATCTAAACCGGGCAATAGGCGAACCTATCTACTACCATTGAGGAAAGATACATAGCAAATAGAATCTCAGAGTTTTGGGAGGAGACGTTAGAAATATAGAGTTGAAGTAGACTTTCGAGTAAACCGGAAATACAAAAAAAAAAGAGAGATACACCACTACTCTAGGCGTGTGTATATATATATATATATATATATATATATATTTGTGTGATGATCGCAAAAGCGGTAACTCAGGGTTACAAACTCATATACATACAACTGAATATATATATATATATATATATATATATATATATATATATATATATATATATATATTATGAAATGGGTAAAGTCCGACAGTTATTTTAAGACATTTTTATGTTTATACGTTCTTCTTATAGATACAGATATTTAAGTAAATGCTCTGTTTATAATAAACAATATTAACGAGATTCACCGGCCTGAATGTTCGAGAAATTTTCATAGAAAATATGCGTCCTCCGACAGGAATCGAACCTGTATCCT